CGATGGCTTCTGGTGACCAGAGTCATGCCTTGAGGGATTTGATCCTGGTCTGGGGGACAGAGGGCCAGCCTGTCCTTCGACTGTTTTGAGGGGGCCCTTCACTCACCCCTGTCCACCCCCATTGCCCCCCCTCCCCCCAGGTCCTCCTCTGACTTTGCTTTGCAGGAAAGCAGCAGCTAATTGCAGCCTGGGTATTTTTAGTTCCAACTCAAGGTGAAGAATCAAAGACTCCAGGATCCTTGGGCTTTCCTTGCTGCCACCGATAAATAATCCGGTGAGCAATGTGATTTCTCGCTCTGCCATGCGCCTGGCTATAAAACAGGGCACTCGCCTTGGAGTGGCCCGAGAGCTCATTACTGTGTGTGCAACGTTGGTTGGAGGCCCACAGATGAAAAGACTGAAGCCTGAAGTGGGGTACACCTGCCAGGTGTTGCAAGGTGGGCCTGCACCCTTTGATCTCCCACAGCAGCACCCTGGGGAAGCCTGCAGCCTTCAGAAGCACACACATCCCCCTCTCCCCCACCCCCCTCCCCCTGGTATCCGGGATTCCGCTCATGAAGGCCAGGCAGATGCAGCCCAGCCCCGCTGTGGGCTGAGGCTGCCCCAATCTTGGCCTCACAGCCCTGGCCACAGCTGGGCTTCACGGGCTCCGTGGAGCAAACACCCTGCCATTAGCCTCTCTGGAGCCTAGCCAAGTCAGATGCTGGCTTCTGCTCACTCACAGGTTCACTAGAGACATCCACCACATGCCCACTGCTGGGCTTCCCGCTACTTCCTCCCCAGTGGCCCCCGCCACAGCCGCCATCCTGGGGACACAGGGCCCTTTGCAGGAATGCTCTCCCTTCACACCTCCAGCTCAGCTCCCAGCCTTCCCTGACCCTTAGCTCATTCAGCTCCAGGCCCTCAGAATGCTCAGCATCAGGCCTCCACTATCCTTGTCAGGGCCCACCACGCGGGGCCGCCTGGAGCTTGCCCCCTGCAGCCTATCAGTCAGTATCTACCATGAGCCAGGGGCTTGCCTGTGGTTTCTCCCTCCGTGTCTGTCTCGCCCTGGATCGTAAGACCATCTGGGGGCAGCACTAGATCACCACCGGGCCTGACTCCAAGCAAAAAACCAACCAACAGACTGCTTGCCCTCAAGTGGATTCTAACGCATGGTGACCCCAGAGTAGAACTGTGCCCCAAAGGGCTTTCAACGGCTGCTCTTTCAGAGGCAGATCACCAGGCCTTTCTGCCCACCAACCGCGTGGTTTAGCCTGCACTCTGAACCATGCCACCAGCAGGGGACCTCTGCACTCACGCAGCAGGCTCCAAAAGGACTGCAAACGTACCAAAGCACCTCGCCAGTCACCTCCATCCCCGGCTACTAGCAGAGGAGCCCTGGTGGCAGAGTGGGATTCAAATCCCAAGGTCAGCTGTTTGAACTCATCAGCTGCTTCATGGGAGGAAGAGGAGGCTTTCCGCTCCTGTAAAGGGTTCCAGTCTCAGGAGCCCAGGGGCAGTTCCACCCTGTTCCATAGGGTTGCTGTGAGTGGCCATTGTCTTGGTGACGGTGAGTTTGAGTTTTGAGTCTGTCTACTGGCACTTGTCTGGACCCACAATCAATGCTCATGGAAGCAACAGTCAAGAGGTCAGATAAAGCACTGCACTGGGAGAATCTACTCTGCGGCACTAACGCAAAGGGGTTACTCTGAGGATGAAGGGGTGTCTGGTCCAAGCCATGGCATTTTCAGCGCACTTCCATCCCGGTGAAAACTGGACGTTCACTGAGGAAGACGGGGAAGAGTTGGTGCGTTGAAATGCGGGTGCTGGTGCAGCATACTGAAAGCACTCTGGATTGCCCAATGGAACAGACAAGTCTGTCTCCTCAGGCGCAATGATGGTGAGAGCTGGTCTCATGTACTTTGGACATGCTGTCAAGAGAGACCAGTCCCGGAGAAGGACATCATGCTCGGGAAGGTAGCCGGGCGGCGACAAGACCGAAGGACACAGAGGCTGCCTCGAGGGGCTTCGGCATAAGAACGATGGTGCGGACAGCGCAGGACCCGGTAGTGTCTGTTCTATTCTACATGGGGTGGCTACGGGTCAGAACTGTTGCTCTACATGGAGGGGGCGGGGGTGGCTATGGGCTGAAACTGCTTTGATGGCATTGATGACAACAGCACAGGTAAAATGGATTTTATATTTAAACAAGCGGCTCCTGCCGTTTTACATATGTCTCTGTGCTTGATGGTCTAAGCAAGTCGTCGCCATCAGCCTCCCCTCACTGGGGTGGCACCGACGACCACTGGCCCTGCCAGCTGGCAATCTGATCGAGTGCAACGTGTGGGTGTGCCTTGGGCTTCCCTCGGCACAACCATGAGCAGGCTTGGTGGCTACGATGCAAGATAGGCCCCGTGGCCTGTGGTAGTGGTGCTGCTGGGGGCTGGTTACCGCAGAGCCAGAGCTAGGCCGTGGGATACCCTAGGTCAGCAGTTCTCAACCTGTGGGTCGAGACCCCTTTGGGGGTCGAATGACCCTTGCACAGGGGTCGCCTGATTCATAACAGTAGCAAAATGACAGTGATGAAGTAGCAATGATAATAATTCTATGAATGGGGGCGGGGGTCACCACAACATGAGGAACTGCATGAAAGGGCCACTGCTCTAGGTAGTCGGTGGTGTTGCCCCCACCCCGGCACCCCACAACCCACTCCCAGCCCGCACAATTCTAACCACCACAAAAGCAGCACCTTCACACTGCGGGCAGCCATGGGAAAAAGGCCTCTTGTCACTGTGAGCCAGTCCTCCCTCTGGAGTTATGATCATCATTATTATTGCTGACCGGAGGTTTCCTTAGAGAGCGCTGGTGGCGCTGAGGTTTGAAGCACCAGGCTGCTAACCCAGAGGCCGGTGGTTCAAAACCCACCACCCACTGCGAGGGATCTGGATGAGGCTGTCTGCTCCCGTGAAGACACACAGCGTCAGAAACCTGGAGGTCGGGCCAGGCTTGTCCTGTTTGTTTTACAATTTGGTCTTGACGGGCTTCCTAAGGAGGCGGTCTCCCAGCACAAAAGCGGGTGGCAGACACAGGACACACACCTACAAGGAGAGGAGGGTGTGGGCACACACCTCAGGGGGTGGCAGTGCCAACCAGTGTCCGTCCTCCAGTTGGCGACACAGCCCAGAAGCTACCTGCACACTCCTTCCTGCCACCCCCGGGCCGGGTGCAGGCTGAGCCGCCGCCCCTCTGAGCTGCGCGCGCAGTCTCAGGTTGCCAAGGCGACCGGGCTCCGGGGACGCCTGCACCCAGGGTCCCTCCGCTGGGGAGAAAGAGCCCGCTCCCCCTCGTCAGCCTCAAGGCTGCGGGGGGTCAGAAGGCTCGGCGGCGCAGGCGGGGAACTCTCCAGACCACGTGAGAACCGCGTTCCCTGATGGCGGCGGCGAGGGAGGCGGGGGTCGACACTCACCTAGTCCTTTGAAAGACAGCCGGGAGACTGACTCGCTTTGCAAAGGGCTAGGAGGTGGCCTGTGTGGGGAGACGGGTGGCAGTTGACTTTCTTTTCATAGCCTGTTTCCATGGTGCCTGATGGCCCTTGGCAAACCGCAGCTGGGGAGTCATGGACAGGGGGGCGGGGCAGGGGGGGCTGGGGTCTTATCTTGCCTTGGCCACCCTCCAAGGCCCATCCTCCTGACCGGGCCCAGGGCCCCTCGCCTCCCCTCCAAGTGAGGCAGCAGCAGACAAAGGGCACCACAGAGAGGGAGACAGCCCAGGGTCAAGGTCTGCAGTGCCTGCTCACACCCTCCCTTGCCCCTGACCGCCCCCCCCCCCCCTTGGGGGAAGCTTGTAAGAAGTCTCACAAGACCACCGTGTCCCCACTTCACATGACCCACCTGGGCTGCCCGCCCAACAGACCCCCTAACTAGGAACCCACTCTGCCCTTCCCTCCCCTCCCTTCTCTGTCCTGGACTGCCAAGCCCAGACAAGCCAGATAAGGGTCTCTTTAATTTTCAGTGTGTTAAGTCTCCGGGAGAATCCCCCTATCAGGATGGGAGGTCTCTCCAGGTGAGGCGGGCCACTCACCTGCTCCTGGGAGTTCATCACTCGCAGCTTCATCTGCTTCAGGTAGGTGGAGGTGAGGGGCATGTTGTAGTCAATGATCCCGGAGACCAGAGGAGAGGGAGGCTCGTTTTCTGGGAGAAGGAACAGAAGGACACCGTTTCAGTCTGCGCCTGCCCTGGGCTAGAGGCCACCACTGCAGAGAGGGGCCGGGCCGGGCGCACCTGGCAGGAGGGGAGGTGTGCACGATGGATGCTGGGGATAATTTTCACTTCAATGTTTCTGTTGACAGGTCTTGCATTAATATCTTTAGATATAGGTATACACACACACACACACACACACACATTTCTGACTTCTTTGAAACACAGGAGGTCTGCCTACACTGGGCCTGACACATGCAGACAGGAGCTGAGCGGCAGGCAGCCACTTCTTTCAGCTAGGGCTGTGTGCTCCACTTTGCCAGCATCCCCACCACTCCTCAATGCCTTGCACACCTCCATTCGACTCTGCCATTCTTGAGGCCCTGGCTAAAGACAGCTTTCCTCCTGTGGAACACATCGCCCCCTTCCCCTGATCCCCACAGCCTCTGCTGCACCCCCAGAGCCTTCTCAGGTGCCCTCCATGGTCTGAGTAGTCAGTCTGCCAAAAGACATTCTGGTTCCTTCCGAAGGTCCATGGGACACAGGGCATCGGTTGGCCCTGCTCTGGCTCACTGTTGTCCTGCTGAGCAATGTCCCCTGTGTTTCATTTTGTAGAGAGCTTGCAGCGAGAAAGAGGACGTGAAGGGGGGAGAAAAGCCCGAAGCCCCCTGAAGGCACAGCGGACCAGTGCGGCAGCCCTGTGCTCTCTTCTCCCCTTGGAGCCCTATAGGAAGCGCAGCCACAGCCAGACCCAGGAAGCTCGTGGGAGGACGTGCCAGTATCTTTCGGTGCCATTTCCCCCATGAACTTTCTCAGGCTCCCTCGTGGCTTGATAATAAAATGTAGAACCGAGAATTTGTAAAGTCTGACTGAAACTTAAAAAAAAAAAGTTTATCTTGGTGAACACGCTGGTCGTGAGATACTTGCTCAGCCATGGTTACTCTTGTTTGGATCGTTACCGTTTCCACGGCTTTATCGTTTTATCAGACCTAATCTTCGCTGCCCCCGCCCTGCGATTGGCTCTGGCGGTTGTTGCCGGAGGGGGCGGTTTTGACCGGCGACCGGCACGGACAGTGGTCAGTGTTGCCCATAGTTTCCTTTGTCAGAACTAACTCCTAGTAGTGGAGGCTCAGGGCGGGAAGGGCAGGGACAAGGGGTGACTCTTGATGCCCCTGATCAGGCTGCGTTCTGCAAAGCCTGCTGCTGGGGACCCTGTGTGGCACCGGAGCTGCCCACGTGGGTGCAGGCTGGGCAGGCTCCCTGGCACAAAGACAAGTCCACGAGGCAGGGGGTATGACTCACACGCAGTGCCTTGTCCCCTTGCCCAGCTCGGCTTCCCCTCCAGAGGCTTCCCGCTGCCATAGGACATCTGCCTGCTCTGGAAACCCAGGAGTCACCTGCTGGGACCAGGCGGGCCAAGTGGAGCCTCTGATACTCAGTTCATCACCCGGGCCGCGTCCTAGGAACCCAGTGCACCTTCTGGCCCAGGAACGGCCTTGGTTACCTGTTCTCTGGTCACTGCCTCCTCCTGCCACTAAGGACTCAGACCAGGCCCATTTCACGCCGGGCCTGTGACCCAGAGTTCTCGCTGGTGCTGAATCCCACCCAAAGGCTGGATGTGCGGGAGAGAGAGAGACTAGACAAAGCCTGCCCTCTGCCATCACCACATGCCCCAGAGAATGGCCAACGGGGAGTAGATGACAGGGCCAAGGAGGGAGGCACAGAGGGGACGTCCCCTACAAGGTGATCTGCTAAGCTTGTCTGAGCCCTAGCCTGCCCAGAACCAGAGACCAAAAAGCCCTCTCCCTGCACACTTGATTATACGGGGTGAACTCAGACAGACTCCAAGGGGCAGATACGACTCCGCTCCTGTGGATACCCAGAACAGAGAGTCATTTTGGGGAAGGGGTGGAGGGACAGAGGCGAGGAAGAAAGTCGCGGCTGCATGTCTGTCGGGGGTGATAGAAAATTCTGGCAACCGAGAACAGTGATATTTACACAACATATTGCGTGTAATTGTGAATGCCACTGAATGGCACACCGGGAAATGGTTAAAATGGGGGGAGGGTGCGTTTAAAACGGCAGATTTTGTTATATATCTTTTTACTGCCCTCCCCCAAATACCAAAAAAAAGGTCCCTTGCAAACAAGGGAGTGAAATTCCCCGAAACGGGGCACGGGACGTTCGGACTGGAACAGCCCGGTAGAAGATGGGGACCCCAGACTGGGGGTTGTCAAGGGAAGGGGGATGCAAGTTTTTGATCGGAAGTGACATTTTATTTTAAATCCTGTTTTAGAGAAATGCGGAGTCCTGTCTGGCTGTTTTAAACTGTTGTTACACAGAGAATGTTTCGTTTTGTTCTTTGAGGAAGAAACGCATGTCACAGAAACGTCTCGGAGTGTCTTGAAAGGGGCCTTTTTTTTTTTTTTAAAGAGCGCGTTCTCTTGTTCCACGGCAGAGGGATTCAGACACATCAGCCCCTCTGGCACAAATACCGGGGGGGCTAGGGAGTTGGGGTGGGGGTTGAAAATGCCATTTGATGTCCTCATAACCTCTTCTCCTTGCTGCCTGCTGCCACCCTGCCAACCTAGCCTGACCCGTCCCCCAAGCCCCACTCACTGCCCTCCAGGTGACCGTCTCCCAATGACCCTCTAGGTCAGAGCAGCAGTGCCCCCACAGGGTTTCCAAGGCTGTCCATCTGTATAGGAGCAGACCGGCCTCTTTGTTGCCCAGGGAGTGACTGACGGGTTTGAACCTCGGACCTTGAGGCTTTCAGCCAAGGGCTTGGCCCACTGCTCCATGGGGCTCCTGGCCGTTGCAGGGTGTCACTCGACCGACCGAGCTGGGGTTCCTCTTGGCAGATCATGTGGGGTGTTTAAGGCTGAGACACCCAGTGCCATCTGCTTTTCCCTTCCTCACAGGCAGGGGGGGCTGGTGAAAAGACGCTCAGCCAAACTGCCCCTGTGAGGGGTCCCCCTCGTGTGCCTGATTAGGCCCTAGGCGGAGCCCCGCTTATGGTGTTACTGCTGTTTTCTACGGATGGCCGCCTGTGGGCTGCCTGAATGCCACACTGTTGATCAGAAAGTATCTTTAATAAAAAGGTAACAGTTTCCTCCAGAAGGAAAACGCTACACAGGTGAGGAGGATGCTTCCAGGGGAACTGGGCGGGGTCTTCTGTAAACTCCAACCACCCACACAAACTCACAGCGAGCCTGTAAGGACAGGGTGGAGCTGCCCCTGTCTGAGTTTCCAAGACTGTTACCTGTTTGCAGGAGTCGAAAGCCCCATCAGGAGCAGCTGGTGGTTTCAAACCACTGACCCTTGCAGATTGCAGCCTCAGAGCAGAACCATTCTGGTACCAGGGCTCCTCTTCCGTAGGCAGTCCCCTCCACAGCGTCCCCGGAGATCAGAAACCTCTTCTGTAGCTGGCTGGTGGTGAACCAGCTTTGGAAGGCAGGATGTCTCGGAGAAGCTGGGTGGCCCGGAGCAACCGCATGACTGAACACCTAGTAGCTCGGTGGGTCATGAAATGCTCCTCTCTCCATTCTTGGCAGGTGGGGGCAGGAGCCCAGGTGGGAGGAGACCCGAGGAATAGGGCTGGCTGTGGGAGGCTGGAAAGGGAGCTCTAGAGATATTGTCATCGTCAGGTGCTGTGGTAGTGGGATGATTTTACATCCACTTGGATGTTTATGGAAGGGTAGGGGTGGAATCCCAGGTCATAGCCTAGTGGTGCCTCCTGGGGGGCGTGGTCTTCTTGTAAGTGGGGAAACCTCCCTCTCTCCAGCTGTGACTCTGCCTTCCTGCTTCCGCCAACCCTGAGTGCTGTCAGCACCCTGCCATGTTTCTACCAACGTTGTTTGGGTGACTGAGACTTGATGGCCACCAGCAGCCTGTGCCCTCTCTGCTTCCCAGTTCACCATCTGCGTCACCAGCAGGCGGCTCCATGAGTCCAAAGAGGGACTTAAGGACTAGCATCGGACTTACAGACTTTGAGTTGGACTGGATGCCTTCTTGATACATAGTTACTTCTTGACAGAAAGCTCTTCATTATACAGAGATGAGTGTCACTGAATTTGTTTCTCTAGACAACCCGGCCTGGCCTAGCATCTGTACCGTGGAGTTGGTTCCTGCTGGTAGTGACTCATGTACAAAGAATGAAACCCCGCCCAGTCCGGCACCGTCCTCACAATCGGTGCTATGTTGGAGTCCACGGTGCCTGCCGATCCATCTTTTTCTGCTGACCTTCCATTTGACCAACAAGCACGATGTCCTTCCCCAGGGGCCGGTCTCTCAGGATAACACGCCCAGAGCAGAGACGACCTCTACTGTCAGTCTGGCAGTCCCAGCCTGTGGAGGGTTTCTGAAGCTGTGAATCTTCACGGCAGCGGACAGCCTCATCCTCGTTCTCCCTCAGAGTGGCTGGTGGGTTTGAACTGCTGGCCCTTTGGCTAGCACACCAGCGCTCACTCGACGCCACAGGAGCAGAGGCCCGTGGGAGCTCCGAGGAATCAGGCACTCGCAGGAAAGGCAGAAGCAGGGAGGACAGGTGACTGAGGAAGTGGCTGGCCCAGGTGTGGGGGTCCCATGTGCCGGCGTGGCAGGGCAGAGGACGCTCCCAGGAAGCGCTCTCTCCATACCTCTTTGCCAGCGAACAGTGAGAACCACCAAGCCTGGGCCGAGTCTTAGGTGGACTTGGAAATAACTTGGTGTGGTAGAGGCTGTACCCAGCCCAGGCCACTTGCCACCCCCAGGGCTGGCCAGCACTGGCACGCCCCAGCTCACACTGCACATTTCAGGGGCAGGTGAAGTGACTCTCCCTCTTCAGGTGGAGCCCCCCCACAGGGCATTTTCATGGGGCTTTGCCTCGAGAGTGGAGGAAACCCCAGGTCCAGGGTCTCATGGGTGCATGGGTGAGAGGCCTCCCAGGCAGGCTTCGGTATCACAGGATGGGCATGATGGGGGCTGGGCATGTTGTGGGGTCTGGCTTCGGAAGTGGGAACCCCAGGTCTGGGTCTATGCCAGAGACCCTGGGCGACGTGTGTCCACTGACACCCAGCGCGCTGGGCCTGAGGGTTTAGGTAATATCCCCATTTTACAGGTGAACCACAGTGCTATTGAGAGGCATGGCTATGCCACGGGCTGGGAGGGGCATAGTGGGGACCATGCTGGGGAGGGACCATGCTGTGTCGGGGGCCACAACTGGTTCTGAAGGAGGGGCCGTTTGGTGGCCCCTGAGGTGGGACCTTTCGGTAGGTCCTGGTTCCTGTAGGCCCGCTGCTCACTCCTAGTGTGCAGCCACATCAGAGGACACAGAAGGGTGCCCTCCCCGCCAGGTCCCTCCCCGGCAGAGCCTCGAGGGTCCTCAGTCTGGGTCCTCTCTCCGCTGGGGCCAGTGGAAGAGGAACGTGGAGTCAGAAGGCGCTGGAATTTCCCACCCTCCTCGGACTTCCTGATCACTGCAGCCTCTTTGTTTATGCTTGGGGCTGGGATGGGGGTGGGGTCCCACACTGCTGGGGACAAACCGCCTTCCTTTCTTTTCAACACCAGCCAGGAAGCAAGACACTAGCCTAGCAGCCTGGATCCATCCTGTCCCCCGTGCCCCTCCCTCTGCCTGCCTGGGGCAGGAATACAGGCCTGCCTGGTGTGTGGAGGTGGGGTGGGGGTGGGGGACACACGCCAAGAAGGGCAGGTCAGTGGAGCCCCAGCATGGTGGGCAGAGGTCCCATCTCCAGGTGTCTGCCTGGGCCAGGAGAAGGGAGACCTGCCAGCGGGCTGGCTATGGATGGCAGTCCAGGTGGCTAATGCTGCTCCCTTGGTGGGGGAAAGGGTGTACCTGATTTTGGTCAAGGCTGTGTGTGTGTGAGTGCATATACGTGTGTGCGTGTGTGTCCACAGGCACTGGACAGAACTGGCCCTGGATTAGGAGAGGGCTGGTAGATAG